AAGGAAGCAAGGAAGCAAGGAAGCAAGGAAGCAAGGAAGCAAGGAAGCGAGGAAGCAAGGAGGGGAAAAATTGAGATAAAAGCAAGAAGACTATATGAAGAAAGGAAGCTCAGCTATTACATACAACGTGGAAAAGTAAAAAGGAGGAAATAGTAAACAAACAGAAGAAGAAAGAAGGGAAAATAGTTCACATATTGAGAAATAATAGCCGGTTCACAAGCCGTGTAAACAGGAAGCAACCAACGTCATAATGACCCTTCAAAAAACATCTCTTAAAACAAAACATATTTGTCTTGAAGCACAAACTCCATAAATTCCCGCGAACAATACTGTGAAATGTTTGTAGATGATATCTAAACGTATGTGAACACCACTATATTTCTTAACCTGGTAATTCTTGCCATCCAAATATTATGACAGATACCTCTAATGGATAATCATCTTTGTTTTCAATAACTTACTCGTTTTAACTTCCCATCCAGAATTTGAATTTTCCCACGGTTTTCCAGTTAACTCACTTAAATTTACCCATAAACGTCATGGTCAATTTTTATGCCTCTTTCTCTCTTCTTTCTACTAAATTACAGTACTGTTACTTTTTACGATAATTTCATGATTTTTCTGAAATTTCTATTTTCAATTCGGGATAAATAGCACAAATTTTGTGAAGTGGTTCATTCGGTTAGCATTAATAATAACGGGGTTCTTATATAGCGCATTTTACATGGTTTCAATGCGCTTCACAATCATGACCAGTGGAGGACTTTACTGGCTGCGTATTTAGGCGCTAGTAGCAGCCGTGCAGCTTACATGCTATTTACTTACAGTTAGTAGCATAAAATGGCAGCCATTTTGAAACAAAGCAATGCCATCATTTTAGATTCTAACAATAGCCCTTATATCAATGACTAAGAAACAAGCGACCAGGTTGGCACAAAAAAAATGGATGGTATATAATGTTTGTCTAACGTGAGTCAATAATAAAGCGGATACCAGTAACCCTTGCCCTTACTACTCCAACTCCCTCTACTCCTCTGATTCTAAATCCCCAACACTGGTTGTTTCAAAGGATGCAAGTAATGATAAATCTGAAGGAATTTTCGATACATGATTATTTTCCAATTAATCGAAACACAGCTTATTTGTGTTGATTGAAGAGGTCGACCGAAGAATGCCATTTCGAAGAAGAACGACCGCATTAAATATGAATTTTAAAAATATTTACAACAAGGACAATGGTAAAGAAATAATTTATCATTTGTCACTAGCTTGGAAAAAAAATTCAGAAAAAGACAAAAGTAGTCGTTTTAAATTTTTCATTTATTGTCAATAAACTAGTAGGATTTTTGTCAGGTAACTTTACTCGTGACCTCAAAAAAAAAGAACCAGTTCAAATCACGCTGGTTATCAATTGGTTAAGCACACCGACAAAAAGAGGACCATTTTCTCTTTCTTTTATTTGTAGATTGATCGACGGAGAAGATAGACGTCGCAAGTAAAATGGCAGTTAATCGAGAACTTCTTCTACTGGTTTTTATCATGACTGTGTTTGTCGCAGTCTTTAGTCAACCGTTTGAAAACAAGCTAAAAGTAAAGATAGATTTCTAGTCGAATGATTGTTCAATGGAGAAAAATAATGTTCAATACTGTGGCTATTTTTACRCTGAGCTTGGCGGGGACAAAGCCTCAAACATAAATCCCAGGCGCTTGCTCGCGGCCTCGAAGAACATCTATCATAAATTACGGAATTTAATCTAGGGTTATTAGAGACTAATACTGGTTTGTTTTAGGAGAAAGCACGACAGCGTAGAAGTGTCTTACAGTACAAGACCATGCTGGAATGTGCCACTAAGAGAAGTGGATGGCTGTATGAGGGATATGGGTGTTGGTGTGCCTTTCATGGCAAGGGAAAACCAGTAGATGATACTGACAGGTATAAGATGTTATCAGGATATTATTAATATATTATTCACTCTGATCATCATCACTCATCAAACCAATACTGACACCAATATCCTCATCATCATGATAAGTACATGATATTATGATAGTGAATAATACGTTAATAATATCCTGATAATATCCTCATCATCATGATAAGTACATGATATTATCAGGATATTATTAACGTATTATTCACTATCATACTATCATCGCCACTACCACCCACCGCTGCCACCAACATCTTCATCATGATAAGTACAGGATATTATCTGGATATCATTAACATATTATTAACTGTTATTAACATCACCATCACTGACCAACCACCACCATCATTATATGTATGATATTATCAACATATATTGTCAACATTATCATTCAGTACGACTATCGTCATCATTGCCATCATCACAAGTTTTCCACACCACACCCAATACTGAAGTCTTTTTTGTATTCGTATTCAGATGTTGCAAAGCTCACGATGAATGCTACTCGAAGATCAAGGAGAGTAAGCTGTGTGAATGGCCACACGACTACTCGGTGTATTACCTTGAATATAAGAAACCCAAGCAATGTATGGAGTGTTGTAAGTATAGACCAGACTACTGTGTTTGCTGTTTGGCATGACGTCACGCATGTGCTTCTCAGACGAGTAGCCTGACCAAAACCTCGATTTTAGTGAACCGAGCTGTCTTGCTATGGAAGTAACTCGAGCGGTCTATGGTCAATACGTACAGATGTGAAGGTTAAGTTATTTTTTCAACCGAAACCATGACGACTAAAAATAGTTCATTTTAAAGAAATAAATGCGATTCGTCTATTTTGGAAGATAACTCCGAGCGTCTTGCCAGTCTACGTGTGTCAGCTCTGAAGCGTCTGCCATATTGGATTTCGGAGAGCTGACAATACGGTAGCCTGAGGATGAGACTAAGGCTAATGAACCAGTTTGCACTCTGCATCCGCCATTTTAGAGGTATTCTCCAATATGGCCGTTATTTTCTTTGTATTACATTGGATACATGGAACCAATAGAATACTTAAACTGTTGCAAGTAAAGTCTAAACAAATTAGACTACAAGTGACGTCACAGTCGCCATTTTGGAGAAAATGAAACTCCTTGTCATCCAACATGACTACCACTTTATGATCGTTTTTGTTTATTTCTCCTAAAAAAACTTGGACTGCCATCCCATTCTTTCATTTTCCATTGCCATGCCCTGATTTCATATTTTCATTTCTACTCTCAGCTCCTGCAGATGAATATGCAAGCGAAGAGGAAGCGAACTGTAAGGTTGAGCTGTGTAAATGTGATGTCCAAGCGGTCAAATGTCTACAAAAAGCCTCGTTCAACAGGAAATTCGTTCAGTATGACAGATCAAAGTGTTAGAAAACCGAGAAAATAACAAGGACTTGAATATTATAATCTAGAATAGATCCTTTGCTGTTAAACTGATCACTCGTACACGCTTCTCGTCATTTAAGAGCAAAATCATTTCCAAATTGAAAGTCAATTGTAATGTAAGGAATGCGCAATTTGATCAATACCAACATTTTATGTCTCATGGATTTTTAATGTGTGAATAGGTTGACTTATAAACGAGGCTACCCTTTTGCAAATGAGTCTGTGGTATTCAAAAACAACTGGTGTATTGTGCTTACTCTTGTCACAGCTTTGATTTCAAACTATGCTCAAATCAAAGACACATACAGACATGGAGTCGCTAATATGTTAAAGTATATGGATGATAAATGAAATCGAAATAAAACAAAAAGACACAGACATGGAGTCGCTAATATGTCAAAGTATATGGATGATAAATGAAATCGAAATAAAGTAAAAAGACACAGACATGGAGTCACTTATAGGTGCAGGTATAAGGATGATAAATGAAATCGAAATAAAATAAAATTCTTCATGGAATTTAATGCACAAGTGTATACATATTTATTTTGATAGTATACGTGAAACATTCCGACATATCCAACAAATAAGGCTCTTGATACAAACTGCAGTTTGAGGATGCTCAAAGGAGGTAACTGGTTTAAGATCTCAAGTCCATCAATAGTTATCAAGCAGATGAAACATGTAAAACGAATCTATCTGATCCACAATCCTTGCTTGTCTTAACTCTGTAGCTCAGGTAACTAACTTTATTGATAACGGTATATGTATATGAATATCTTATATAGTCTAGCTGACAAGGCACTGCGGTAAGTTTTCAATTTAAATTTTAAAATTCACTGCATAATACAGCAATTTAACTTTTTGTTTTGATCACTAAAAAAGAGAAAGAGACTGCGCGCGTAAGTCGATGACGCACGGACTAGGGTAAGGCTAAATTTAAACTGCATCCGGTTACTTAAAATAGCCCAACCAGGAATTTACATGGCGCGCGTGTCATTGAGCAGTTTCCCTCTCTTATTTACGCGCTCATGCTTTTAGGTAATGACTACAACGTTCAACTATCATAAGGAGTTCCATATTCGTATACCTCTATCGTATCTCTCTCTAATCAGTGCATTGGCAGGACATCGAGCTTTAGTAAGAAACCGCCATCAAAAAATTCAAACCTATTACAAAACAAACACTACCCTTATTGGCAGCTGTCAATCTAGTTGGACACGATTTAGTAATCACGTGATACGCATACTATTTTGTTGATGTAGGTTGGAAGGCTAACGTAAATAGAAAGGCCCTTGTTCGTAGTATGATATTGACCCAGTAAATGTAATTAAAACTAAATTTAGATTTCTAATTTGGGATCTGGTTTGGTGTGCCGGTGCAGAGGAATTTAGGCAGCCTTCGGCTTGATACAAGACAAAACAAAATACAAAATTCAAGTAGCTTTTTCTTTCCTTGCTGCCCGACATTATATCTTGCTATGCAAGTATAATGAAAGTCAAACGTTATCTGATGGTTTTCAAATATATATAAAATCAGTTTATAATGGAAATGTGAGGATGAAGACAATTAATTCTATACATATATACATACATACATCGTTTATTTGATAAAGCAGGTTAAAAAAAATACGCAAGACAAGAGTCCTGATGTGGACCTGCATAATCTAAATATATGTATATATAATATATATAATATGGCTAGTAAATGGAAGCCAATACTAGGTCTTATTCCTAACATTTAACATATGAGGCTTCTTTCCTTTTTTTCTTTCCTTCTCTTTTCTTTTTGCTTTTTTGTTTCTGCTTAGTTTTTGATTGTAACGCTGTGATTTTATGGTTGAGTAATTCAGTAAAAATTAAAGAACATAGATTCATCGGGTATTAAAAACCCGACCACACTATGTGATGATGATGATGAATTCATGATGTTGGAGTCGGTGATTTTGATGATCATCGATAATGTAGTGCCGGATAGCAAGTTAATTTCAAAAATATCAGTCTACTTTCAAAACATTGAAATATTTACTCATTATCAATTCCTATTTGTTATCCTATATATTTGTTTTTTTATATATGACAACATTCTTGCAATTATTATTTATAACTCAATTGTGTGTAACCCACAATTAATAATAAATATAGCTCTGACTAACTCTAATTAATCTTAAATTAGACTATCTACGTGATATAGCATGACGTGCGAGGATCAAATAGGTGGAAAAATATAGAGAATAGAGTACTGAAGTGATAAGACACAAAATGGTTTTTTAAATAATTTGGGTGATAAACACGCCCGGAATTGACCGAATATGGCTACCAATTTCAATAACTATTGTTCTGGGTTGACTAGCATACATTTAAAAGCACTTTTGTTTTCCACATGAACACAAGGCTAGTCAGACCATAATAATAGCCTCTCATACATTTAAAAGCACTTTTGTCTAGTTCCACATGAACACAAGGCAAGTCAGACCATAATAATAATTCGAATTGGTCGCCATTTTTCGATTCTGAGTATTAATTGAATCCCTCATAACTCCATTGAATTTCGTTTAAAGTAGTGCAGTTTTAAGAAAGCTAAAGTTTTAAGCATCAAAAAAAAAAAAAAAAAAGAAACAAACAAATGTTGCTGATCAAACAACTCAAACCTAGTTTGAATGTACAATCAGATTCCATACGTGCCAAACGTTTTGTTTGATTATGTTATTATATATCTATTTTATATCTATTGTTATTATTTCTATATCTATTTTACTTTTCTAGTTCATTTTTGACTTGATAAACGTTGTGCAACGTCGAAACGCCGTCACATTTTTAACATGTTTTTATCGTTCAATTTTATTATAAAACAAACAAAAGCAAATCAAATTAGTTTGAAGTTCTTTACTAGCGTGTTCATGTCGTCTAATAAGATCTTATTTTTTCTCACTCTAGTGAAAACCCTTCACGCTCACCCAGGTATAACATCCATCATGCACGTACGGTTTTCTCGTTTCCGCTTCAATCGTAAACAAACTATTTTGTGGTTTACTACTGAAATTGAAAAAATACCATGACGTCATGAAGATCGTGATGTTGAATTAGACAAGAACTATTAAACACTTGATTGAATTAATGATATTGAATTATGCCTTGTTTTGAAAATAACAAAGTTAAAAAGATTCTAGTTGAACAGGTTTTGCAGCCCTTTGCAAGACAGATATAAGATCGAGTTAACCGTTTTGTTCTGGGTTTTGAGAGCTAATTATAACAGGTCAGTCAGTAGCGTAGCGAGGGGGGGGGGGGGGCATGTGCCCCCCCAAAATTTTTGAAAAAAGAATAACAAAAAAAACAAAATCATACTAAACCGAAACGAAAGAGGAAAATAAATTATTACAACCTAAGATTTAAGAATGGTTAATAGAATAAAGTTTGTTTCTTAATTTTTTGTTTGAGCGTTTGTTTTATTGGGAGGAGTATTTTTTTAAATTTTGGATCAATGCCCCCCCAGCTCCTAGGTTCTCGCTACGCCCCTGAGGTCAGTGATAAGCCAAGGGGCTCACGCACAAGAACGCAGCTTTTTATGCTGAATTCAATCTTACAAACAATAACATTTCCTTGCAATAAAGGGATATATCTACAGTCTTTGGCGCGATCACCCTGCGCAAGGCAAGTTTTAATCGCTTATACGTTTAGGAAGAACTTTAATCAGTTGTTGTTTTTCATAGTCAATACAATCATTAGTATAATAATAGTCCGCAGATGACCGCATCGTAAATTAATACTTTTAATCTAGACACAACAAGATCAGTCCACGCAAATAATTGGAAGTGATATTAGATCGAGGGACTCGACTACAA